CAAGTCATGTGTCACAATGCTTTGATTACAATTATTCCGATTACCTTCCTTGTTCATTGATCAGTGATTACCGATTATTTGACAATCACTACAGCAAAGCAAAGCCCAGCTGTGATGTACAATTGCTGAGAGCTTTATCAAACCAAAGACTAGCAAGTAGAAGCGCACAACGCCGAGTGGTAGATCTGGATAGAGCTGGACGTTATAGTAGCTGGCTATAGCAGCCGGCGGCCAGGCTGCACCACGACGTCCGGCCAGTTAGTTTGGTAAACATCCATCAATTCGTGGGCAGGGCACGGTAAGGCGAAACAGGGTTGAGCCTGAACAACGGCCAGTCTAGAAGGAGAGCGGGCGGACTCATTCTCAACAAGGCAGGGTAATCACTGCTATTAGCGCGAACATTACTCCGGTGGTCCGCCAATCTCCTTAGCACTCCATCATATCGCTACCTCGAGGGCCTTCGGCGCATAGAAAATAGAGTGTATACTTTTTTATACACCGGGGTAACAAATCTCCGCTTGCCTCGTGTTCCACTCGACGAACCACCTATGGCTTGCCTACCATATTTTTCAACGATACATGTATATATACATATATACGTGCACTGTATGAAATTATATAAAAAAGAAGGGAAAAGAGAGAAACGTAATTGGAAATGGCAGGGCCGGTTGGAATGGCAATGGAAAGGAAAGTGAGTTGTCCCGTTGGCAGCGTTGACAACCGAGAGATCACTCTGACGGAGTCGAGTGCGGCGCGGAGACTCTCTCTTGTTCGTGCGATACCCTTGGTCGGCTGTTAGAGGCGTGACCAACGATTATCCTCGAAAGGAGCGATGATGGATATCATAGGTAACTGTCTCGTGCCACATCAGCGCTGTCAGCAGCTGCAGGTAGGCGGAAAGATTGTGGGTGGATCCATGATTAACTCGGGTAAACTCGAGTGAGCTTCGAGGACCATGCAAATAGGAATCCAGTGACGAATTCCACTCCAATTAATTCCAGTTTGAAGCAGAGGATGTTCTCCAAAATTTTGTACAATCAACAGAACTGCACTTGAATATATTCTATCGGTTGTCCCGTAAGTCAATCTCTCATGACAAAACAGTGCTTCTAATCTATCAGATCGTGTGTTAATCGTTGGAAGAAGATGTTAAGTTTGGATTACATTTTTTTTTTTTTTTTGGTTTAATTTTATTGTGAAGACGAGATGTATTTTCGAGCTGTGCTTTTTTATTTCTCCACTCTCAAAAATGTAGATCTGTCGATAGCGATCAAATTCAAAGTAATCCAAGATATTAAAGATATCGATGCAAGTCTAACGTGCAACTTGAACTTGAGCTTCCCAAATTGGTTCCCAAAACAATGATTGGATTGGTTATTTACAAAACAAGATATCTATCGTTTTATACACGAAAACGCGACATTACTTATGGGACAGCCGAAGAGGCGGAACGTACTTTCATCAGCTGAACGACAGTGTGGAATTAGTGATGACAATGAACAACTGGAAGAACGGAAGAGCTGGCGCAATTTGTTTATCACGGGGCGTCCTCACTGGTTACCCTTTCGAGACGAGGTCTCGAGTCTGGTGTGGAAGAATGCTAGTCGGTGAATAGGCGGAGCCGACCAAGCTGGATCCGATTCAGAGTGTGACGGATGGCGCCCACCTGTGGATTCATTCACTAATCTGCTCGCTAAGCAAACAGCCCGAACACACCCCGTCATTATCGCTGACGGCGTAAGTAGCGCCCGATCTCGTCCTTACCCGATATTTATTATGCTCCGCCGGTCCTCTCGCTAACCTAAACCTGCCCCCTCTCTCCTTTATACGCTTTTTAAGTGGCCACCGATCGAACTGGTCCGGTCTATTTTCGCGTCACCCTGCTCTTGTTACCGGATATCGGACGCTACGGCTCAGCCCCGTGATTATCCTTGCCAAGCTGGTACCATCCGCGCGTATCGCTGGTCGCGTGTGCCATATGGATCCACCATGGTCGAACGTGGTCCGGTTTGTTGGACGAATTCTCCGGCGCACACACACACCGAAGGCGAAAGCTGCTTGCTGAAAGTACTCGCGAGATCGAGCTTGTGAAAAATAAACTTTCTTCGGACACTTTTCGATACGTAAATGATTTCTTCTTCGATTTCTCATCGGTATGATCGGTGTTCGCCAGTGAATTTTTTTAAATTTTTAAGTGTGGACAAATATTGAGAAATGCGAACGAATTTATGGAATTCGCAAGAAGATCCGCCAAGTTTTGTTAATCTCGATCTGCAAATTTTCTGCCAAGTTAAACTTCGCTCGGCGAACGTAAAAAAACGTCCGACAGAAGCCGTCGCGTTATCTAAACCTGTCTCGTAAAAACAAGAAAACGAGGAAACAGCTCTTAGAATATTGCACACAGTCCACCTAAATACCTTTTTCGAGTTGTGACGATGCAAGAAATATCTTTTTGCCTAACACGAATGGTATCGAAAGGCCAGCAACTGGTAAGAATATCTTTTTCAAGGATTTTTCAAGATCGCGAATTCGTTTTTTTTTTTCTTCTTTTTTCTTTTCTTTCATATAACTATCATAGCATTTGTTTCACTGTATCGTGCAACTGGCGAGGAAATACGTTCAGACAGATATAAATGACCTTGGAAATTTGTAAGTTTCACGTATAAATTTAAGTCCAAGAAAAATGTAAATGTAAATGAACATATTTACTATTTATTACATCGCCAATGATAATCTCGTTTCTAGTAGCTTGCAATTCTGAAAAAAGGGAAGATCGATGTGATGCTCATTTATGGTAAAAATGGCCAGTGTTTGAGAGAGTGTATATGCCTGTTAAGGAAGAGACGAATGGGGAAAAAAAATCGGTTTTCTCCAGATTTATAACTGAAAACGTCTCGTCGTCGTTGTGACGTGGCACGCACGATGCAATTATTTTTAGCCGCGTGATTGCACGAGACGCGACGTTAAGGAGCATCCCCGCTGGTCGATGCTCGTAATCGATAGAAAAACAAACGGGGACGCAGCTGCGACGCTCTAAAACGGCGTGCAAACCAGCCGCTGGTAGATAAGGGAAAATCTACCGTGCACTTACCTCGCACGCCTTTTCTGTCATTAATCATTGGCAGGTTGCGTGCAGACGCGCGGTGCCCCCGAGGCGCGCGTTTCCATGCATCGCGAAACCGCCGCGCGCGCGACAATGGCCATCGATTAATATTAATGAACGGACGATCGTGTGAATCGTACAGGATCGCGTATTTTCGTTGGCTCGTCAATCGTGAATGGACGTTGTCGATCGTCGTGTGGGAACTTGAGTGAGCTACCTTTGGAAATATTTGCAAATGACTCCTCGAGATGTTGATCGTTAATGGGGGGATGGCGAAGAATGTCGTAAAGGAAATTCCAATCGCAGGATAATTTACGACAAATTGTGTTGGACAGCACGAGTATTTCAGCTTCGCGCTCTTTCCTCCACATTTTGCAAGCAAGTAGCTTGAGCAAGTGATTTGTAATTGATTCGCAATTTATTCCCTGTCAATTTTTTTTTTTCCACGAAATCGTCGTTACTAAATCGATGTTGTTCCGTCGAGCGTGACACACAGCCAGCCAGCCAGCCAGCCGTTTTGATCGGATCGATAAATCGCGTCTACCTGTGCTACCGCTGCAAAACAGTGATCGACTCTGAAAAGTGTTACCACAGGCCGAAAGAATTATATTTTAGCGAGTTCGAGTCGTTGTTTTCAAACGCGCGCGGCGAAACAGGAATATCCAGTTACCACGAAGGTAAACTAATTAAAAGTAACAAATTACATCGAAAATTGAACAACATCGCTCGACCACTTTGACTACGAGTCATTAACCTCGCAGAATCTATAGTAATTTAGCAAGAGATTGGCGCGAGATTGATTTTATTTTGCCCGCAATAAAGCATAAAATTATACAACGTAATTGGCCGATCAGAAACCTAATGGCCGTGCAATATCTAAGCTAAACGTTCTCTTTTAAGACTCGATGCCTTTCTCTCTCTCTTTCTGTCTGTCTCTGTTCAGAGATAGTTTTTCTTTAAATTTACTATGACAAATTACTACTTTTTTAAATTTACTGTGATAAAATACTCATCTATTGAATCCGTGAAAATCTCGATATAAAGATAATCGATACGAGTGAAATTTTTCTCCCTTATTATCGTATTATAAATGGCACTCTTACACTCAAGTTGTCTCAGACTCGCATGCGAATTTTCGTTAACATTAGCTACGATAGTTTCCTTTGTTTCGTTATTAATAATTTCGCGAATAGTTTGACGAAAATTTTTCACCACCGTTGCATATGTATTCCAGACAATTACGATTAGGAAGTGCATCTTTGTACATTCGGACTGCTTTTTTATCACAAGTGAACATCATATCGATCTCTTCTTGCTTTGAGTATTATCCATTACGAATTTCCACTGTGTCGAAAAAGAAATATTAAATGTAGTGAAATTAATTTGAAAAGCTAGTTAATTTTCTAAAGAGACACATTTCAAATCAAACTCGCCCTTTAGCTGTGATTCTACATGGGTCGTTTATTTTTCTATATCATTGAATCAGTCAAGAGATGATGTTCAACAATTTATAAAAGTGGATGATCAGGTGGATCATCTGATATTTGAAAAAGAAGCATAACTGAACTAAGATGTTACAAAAATAATCTATGGCAATCTATCGCGATCTTTCAGATGAAGTGTTTCTTTAGAAATTGTCTGTTATTTGTTTTGAAGCAAATTTAAAACGCGATGCTTTACGCTTTAGAATTTGCTGATGGGAGAGGGGGTGAACATGTTACAAATTCTACATTTATTTATCACAATATCGATCGATTATTACTATAATGTGAACTGACCAGCATTATAAAATCGATCGGACGGTGGTTGATTTTTGAAAGTATGTGGCCAGGGGCCGTCTTTTTCTGTCTAATAAATTACCTACCCAATCGCTAATGCTTCTTCCAAGGGACTCGACGCTTTTCTTTTGCGCGCGCGCGGGATCGTCATCTCGGTCGATGAAAATTAATGACTCGTGTTGTGTCGTCCTCTCCAGGACCTTAAAACACGAATAAAATAACAATTATACACGCCCGGTCGTTCGTCGACGTTTTCAGGTGAATTTTATCGTGCCATTAATCATCGCGAGGGCCAGCCATGATGCAGCCAACCAATGTCCCTTACAATCGAGTAAAACGATTATCTCCGTGTCGATTTTCATCATACTCGCGTCCTGAACCTATCCTTCCAAAAAAAGACAGAGAGAGAGAGAGA